TTTAAAAAAAAAAAAAAAAAAGGCTGCCCCCCACTGCTGTGAATCTTTCAACAGACATTATCAGAATTTTCAGAATGTTGTATAGCTGGCTAAAAATAATCCATTTCAGTTTTTAAAACCATTTTCGGATATGAAAAATACTGTTTCACAATTGAAATTGAATTAATGTCTTTCTTTTGACATCCTTGTCTGCAAAGCTATGAATGTGAAGGGTCATGAACATTGAATGCACTTTTGTCACTAGAGATATGGTCCCTCCAGATCTCTGTTTGAGATGTTGGCAGGCTAGTACCAAGGAAAGTGTGTACTGCATAAAGAAGGGACTGTCACTTTTTTCACAGTGAGCCATTCTACGTTTCCTTTAGAAAATTCAGATGGAAGAAATAAAATACTAACCAGCTTGCCAGGGTAGACAAATATCAATGATTTTTAAAAAAGGTGGGGGTTGGAGGGGTTGTTTGTTTAAACGGGATTTATTTTAAATTGCATGTATTGTTTCTTTTTTAATAATTTTATTTATAATGAAATTTTGGAATTATGGCAAGCTAGAGTAGGACCGGAAGTGATGATAATTAATTAGAATAGTTTAAATTTAAAACTACTCTTCAAACAATTTTTTTTAAAGTCCCACTTAACTGGGGGAAGTCACTGGCAAAACCAGTTTGTTCAATTGATATATTAGCTTCTGATGGCTTCAATTTTTATGCAGGTGCATAGATGTATTGGGAACTGAAAAAGCAGAAAATCTTGTTTTCCTTCTCCAGTCTTTAATTTAAAGCTGTGTTTGAGGTGCTATAATCTAATTACCAACTGCTAAAGGACTTGGTCAACAGTAACAATTAATTTAATTGACTAGGTACAGACCAAGGTTTCTTTAATGAATCAGTTTCAAATATAAAACGTATTTTGATAAACAGTTCTAATCCCTCCAGCATATTTAACATTGCTTTATTTAATTAGAAAAAAAGAAGTAATACTGATTTTTGTGTATTTTAATGAATTTCAGGTTTTCTTTAAAGGTAACTCAACATACCTCATGAGTTAAATAAAAAATTACTAAATAAGTATCATTCACCAATTTCTAGCAGTAGAATGTATACACCAAGGATCTGAATAAAAGGCATCAGAGTAAATGTGTGTATAGTTACCTAGATTTCTGTTGTATCCTCCCTGTTAGCAAAAAAAAGTACCAAAATTAATGTAAAAGCTATATATAGTTGCAAATCAACATCTCGGTGGTTATCAGCCAGTGAAAAACTGCACAATAAGAAAATAATTGAAAACTATAACTGCAAGATGGAATTAAAATTGATTTTTAAATAAAGATGTCTTTCTTGTTGATTTTAAATTAAAATTGGTGATTTAAATTCATCTACTCTGCAGCTTCCCATTCTCTGCTGTTTGCTGTGCTAGGAATAATCAGGCTCAATGTATTTAACCAATACTATCAATGCTTACTCAGAAAACCAAAAACCTGGGGAATGCTTAGTTTTAGTCTAACAACTTGTGCCTATCTCTAGACCAATTGGCCTTTTCTGCATGTTAAGTAAGAAATGCTATGTTACCTAACAGGGATCCTCTTGGTGGAATAGAACTTTTTTTTTAAAAGCCATAATATTTGGAACAGCTCCTAATACTAAGTTGCATATTACTTATTTTAAGTAACACAAAGGATTTGAATATTAATGATTTACAGTAGTTTATTGAACATTGTGGACACCAAAGGGGAAGGAATACAATCTGGGTAAAATGAGATGACACGACTGCCTTATGACAGGACATGTTTGTTCTTGATACATTTGGAAGCATGTTTCAAAACAGATCTTTGTATTCTGCTTTTCCAGAAGGCAGAAGGACCTCAGTTTGCTAGTGGTCGCCAGTCTCACAAATTAAATGCGATTTTGGGCTCTTAGATTTTGAACTTGCTGTTGATAAATATTTATATTCTTATTTGGGCTGCAGCTGACTTTTTTTTCCTTCTTTTGAAATGCTGCATCTGTTTTATTATGTAAAATACAGTTTTAAATTACCTACCTGGTGCTTAATGAAGCTGAATCATAGCATACTGTCGCTACTACTAAGGATGTAGTCTTGTTGCAGCTCAATTACAACTGAAGAAACCACTGAATATGCATAGGCAGCTTTGGCCATGTACAGGTATTACTTTTCCCCTGGGAGAATAGCTGTTTTCCTGGTAGAAATGACAAGTGTACAAGCATTCACTCAATTTCTGCCAGGGCAAACATGTCCCTTCCTTGAGAGAGATCTTCCAAGTGTCGGCCTGCAAGATCTGTGAGAGAGTTTCTCAAGAGTGAATACTTGTAAGCTCCCCTCCCCCAGTCTGGTCTGGGACAGGGGTGAAGAAGCAAGGCAATGCTCCGTGCACTTACCTAGGCCAAGGACTGCCCAGTTAGGAGAAAGGTAGATAGGCATTGTCCCACTGCTGGACCAGTCATTACCCCCTCTGGAACCAGTCGGGTAATGCCCTCTTAGCCCATTCCCCTGATTAGGATCCCTATTCTTTGGAGCGGGCAGAGGGTTTTGCTGCACTGTTCAGTCTGCTCAATTCTAGGGATGTAAATATCGATTAAATAAATATATGTTTACCTGTTAAACGATTAAATGGTTGGGTGCAGGGATGGGGACAGACACAGCAGCACTGGGCTCTGCAAACTCGGGAAGGCCAGGGGCATGTTGTGCTGAGCCCTTGGGCGGAGGGGGGGATGTTGAGCCCCAGTGCCTGCCCTGCTCCACCCTGCCATGGAAGAGGGGCTGCACTCACCAGCCCTAAGCAGTGGGGGGAGGGTGTCAAAGCAGTCCTGCCTGGCAGGCAACACAGCCCAGGAAGTCCCAGAGGGCAACAGCCAACAAGGGACTTTAGCCACTGATTCACGGTTTCCCAGTACCAGCTGCAGCAGGGGAGGAGCGAGCTGCCTGCCTGGCAGGGCTGTACTACCTTCCTCTCCACTCCCCCCTCCCTCCTGTGCTCCTGCAGCTGGCCAGAGGAAGCCTCATACCAGTGGCTGCAGCCCCATGCTGGCTGCTGCCATCTAGGGCTTCCTGGGCTGTGCTGCCTGCCAGAGCTCAGGAAGCTCCAGTGCACAGCTTCCTGGGACCAGCTGTAGCAGCGAAGGAGGGAGGGGAGAGGAGGGAAGCAGCCAGTGAGGGGCTTTACCAGCCTACTGCAGCTGCTGGCATGCTGCAAGGGGGGGGGAGCAGGCAACCCCTCTCTTCCTCCATCCTCCCTTCTCTCTCCCCCTTTCTCCTCCCCTCCCACTCTCTCTCCGTCCATAGAGTGTAGCTATTAAGTATTAGTTACCCCTCTTGTTCCTCTCTCTCTCCCTTCCTCCTGCCCACCCTGCCACCTTCTGGTTCCTGCTGCAGCACCACAGGACTTCCCTTCCCTCCCTCCCTTCCTAAACTGTGCCATGTCCCAGGCTAAACCATAACCAGTAAGCTAGAACTGGTTATCACTGAGCTGATCAGTTAAACAATTGGTTAACTGTTCACTTCCTTGATCCATTCCTAAGTATAAAAGGTGCACTCGGAGATGATAAGGCCAAAGCAGAGAAGCTAAATAAACTTTTTGCATTGGTTTTTACTGAAGGGTAGGTTGGAGAAATCCCCACACTGGGTCAAAATTGATAAAGTTAACACTAATAAATTACCAGGACCAAATGGCTTTTACCTGCAAGCCCTGAAAGAATTGAAATGGGATATTGCAGCACTATTGGCAATTGCAGGCAGCCTTTCATTACAAATGGCCTCTGTGCAGGAGGACTGGTAGGTTGCCATCCTAAGACCCATCTCAAAAAAGGATTCCAGAGGTGGTCCTACAGATCAGTGAGTTGCTTGTATCCCTGGTAAGTTGCTGGAATGTATAATAAAGAATAAAAGCATCAGTGACATGGACAACTATGATAGGCACTGGGGAAAAGTCAGATTTTTTTTTGTTTTTTAAGGGAAAATTCTTCCTCGCCTATCTGCTGGAGTTTTTTCAGTATGTTAACAAGCATGTGGACAAAGGGGATCTAGTTGACATAATTTATTTGGATTTTCCAAAGGCTTTTGACCAGACATTGGGAGAGAGGTTATTTCATGGGTTGAGAGGTGGTTCAAAGAATGGAAGGAAAGGGTGGACCTAAATGGTCACTTTTCAGGATGAAGGAAGGTCAGTGGCATGAAAGTCAGGCATTGGGCTGGTCCCAGTTTTGTTTAACATTTTTATCAATGACCTGGAAAAGGGAGTGCACAAAGAAATCTCAGTTTGCCTCTCACAGTGATGGTGAGGAGCTGCAGAAAGATCTCACAAAGCTAAATAAGTGGACAAAAAAAGTGGCAGATAAAGTTCACCATTGACAAGTGAAAGGTAAGGTACATGGGAGTGAGGTGGGTAAACACCCTCAACAATATTACATAATGCTGGGCTGTGAACTAGGTGTTACAGCTCATTTTGCATCATTCCAAAAATATCAGCTAAGTGTTCAGTGGTGACTGAAAAAGCCAGTTAAATGTTGGGCACTGTTGAGAAGGGCATCCATCATTTAGATGATGATGAAAACAAAATGGAAAGTGTACTCGTGCCATTCTGTAAGTCCATGGTGCCCCCACAGTTTAAATACTGTTTGCAGTTCTGGTCTGCATATCTCAACAAGGATGTAGTAGAATTTAAAGAGAAACAGAAGGGCCATCAAAATTATCAGGAGTACGGAGCAGCTGCCATACCAGAAAAAGGCTAAGACTGTGGACAGGCATTACATTTGTAGTGCTAAATACGCATTTGTGGTGCTACCAAAAATAAACATACAGCCCTTCAAAAGGAGTGCTTGCAGACGAAAAAGTACCCATCCTCTTTTGCTATGGGCTGGATTGCTGGCCTGAGAGAGAACTTTGTCACTCTCCAGCAAAAGGGCTTGAACACCTCTGTGCTCCCAAAACACTACATTTTTGAAGTGCAGAGACACTTTGTAGCACTACAAATGAATGTCTGTCTATACTCTAAAAAGAGAACTGTTATTCACCAGATCCCAGAACTAGCATACACAAACTGAAATTATCAGGAGACAGGTTTAAAACTAAGAAGAGACCATAATTTTTTTACACAGTGCATAGTTAACTTATAGAATTTGTTGCCACAGGAGGTTGTAGAGGCAGATAGTATAGCCAGGTTAAAAAAGGGATGAGATGAATTCATGGATAAGTCCATTAACTGCTGCTAAAGAGAGCAGTAGGGATGTATACTTTGACATCCCTATACGAGTGGTATTGGATGTCGGAGAGGATATGCCAGGATGGATCATTAGGTATACCCCATGCACGTACTCTCCCTTTAAAGCATCAACCGTTGTCACTGCTGAAGATGTGATAGTGGATTAGTGCCAACTTTGGTCTAACCCAATATAGCTCTTAAGAGACTATTTTCCAATGCTGTCCAAAACTGACTTGCAGATTTGTTGAACCCTTGAATAAGTGCTGCATTGTCAGTGATGAATGAAGGGCTTAGTTTAATACTAGATTCTTTAAATATGAAGTAAATGTAAATGTTGCAATATTTTTTTGTGTGGAGGTAAAATGATTGGCTGCCTGTTGCAATAACACATTATGTAGTGTAACACTAACAAAAGACCATAAAGGAGTAGAACACTTTCAGTGTCGTTTTTAAAATTTAGAAGAGTTTGAATAAGACATATTAACAGTTTTGAAGTACATCTCCTTAAAAATGCATTTCGATTTTTCCAAAAACTTACTGTATAGTAGTATTTTGGAAGGGGGAAGTTGCCCCGTAAACCTATTCTAGGCCGAACTATAATTAAGATTGAGCTGCTGCCAATACAAATAGTGAACTTTTAAGCTTTAAAAAAAAATTACATTATGTATAATTCCTAAGTGGTTGGGAAATATAAATTTGGGGTTTTAAAGGTAGACAAACATCCCTGTTGCATTTCATGGAAATAATCTGCAGGTAAGATTTTTATCTGTAATTTGAGAGGATTTGGCCAGATTTCTATTGACCATGTTTATGAGCACTGTCCTTTTAAAATATTTCCATTCTTCAGGTTTTTTTTGTCAGAAAGATGAAATCTATAGGGGGGATTTTTTAAAAAATATGGTTTCTGAAGTGTTAAGGGTTAACTTTATTTAAAAAAAATAAAATATTTATTGTGGTGCTGTGGCTTTTGTATTCTGGTGCTCATTTTCATTAAATGTTCATTTCAAAGAAACTTATTGCGTGGTCTTAATGCACTATCCGTACTTTTAAATTGTCACCAGATGCATTTGCATGAGGTATGTCTTGAAATGAAACACTTAAGTCTTTTGAAGATTTATTGTATGTTCAAAATGCTTGTTTGGTTTACCCCTCCCCTGAGCTTTGCAGTCATAAATGTCCTTTAAAGTCAAATTAGACTTTAACGGTTTCTTTCCTGCACAATTAAGACCTATACATGCCACAAATCAAATAACGTATGTATTGGGAGAAAAAAAATATGTTGGAAATAGAAAAATACACTTTTTTTTAGTATTAACTAAAATAGTAGATAAGATGTTTGGCACAGTTACACAGTAGCTAATGTAATGGAAAATTAGTATTCTAAAATGGGTATATAAATGCATTGTGTTATATTTTCCCCTTTAAATAGTTCAAAGAATTTCTTGCTGGTGGTCAATCTAGATTATAAAAATGGCAAGAAGTTAGTATGCTGACCATTCCTTCTCAGACTGCCCTGAAGATCCCTTGCATTGCTGACTGGAATGACAGTCGCAGCCTTTTGTAAGCAATAAGTTTGCCTGTCTCAGTACAAGAAGTAGGAGGGTACCCCTTTAGAGCCATTGTTGAAGTGCTGTGAACACTGTTTAGAAGAGCAGAGGAAAAAGTATGTGTTGGGTGATGAAGTCTACCCATAATTCAGAAGCAGTTTTTTTGATACACATACCATATGTGCTAGAAATCAAAATCTGTTCTTAGATGCTTTGGTACAAACCTGAGACTGCTCCAGTCCCACTGGAATATCAGAGCAGAATACATGGCAGTATTTAGACTGCACTTATGAAAAAGTACACAGTCATATATAATGGCACATGAAGCTTTAATTAGGTATAATTTTGACAACTTCACAGCTCATGCCTGATTACAGTGACTGTCAGAATCCAGGGCTTATCTTTCTGAAGAAGTATGAATGTTTAAAAAACTTCACACAAGTTCACAGTTTGTTTTGATTAGAAAGCTTTACTACCTGGATTAGTTATCTGATATAATTTTCTCCTGAAAATGTATATGCGACATTCCATTAAGTACCTTACGTAACTTAAGAGTTAAATGTTGCGTAGTGGCTAAAACTGTGCAGTCATGCATCATGTGTTTGGCTTTCAAGTTAAAGTTGATTCTATTGTATTAAAGTTTGAGCTGAACAGCATTTTCGTTTTCTTCAGTCCAATGAAGTTGTTTTATGGCTATATTATTCTTCTTTATAGTTGACACAAGAAGAGTGTAGGGGGACACTATACAAATATAGATCTGAAGAGCTGGATATCGATGTAAGTATTTGTATTTTTGCTCTTCCTCAGAGCCATCTTGGTGTTGTTTTTGCTTAATTATGTTAGTGTTTTGACTTTAGTTTCTACCCAGAATGTAACATTTGGGTATGAAAATAATGTAGGGATCCATTAGTATTAAGTGGTGAAAATAGAAGGGAAGGAAAATTCTCTGGTTTCCAAAGATGGTCAAGATTTAATGTTTTGTAACCAATGTGTCTCGGCCTGAAATTTTCCATGTATTGAATCTGTTCAAAAGTGAATCGCTTTTGGATGTTTAAGCAAGAAAAAGTCCATAGTTATATTTCAATATATAGGGGTTGGAATAGTACTGCTACTACTCTTTGTAGATGTGTCATGTATGTACTTGCACTTTAACAGGGTTAAAGGAAAAATGGCTGAAGTTTTAAAATTGAAATTTCAGGTAGACAGTAATGAGTTTGCTAGGTTTTAAAATGACTGGTTTTTCCCGTAAAAAGTTATCAATTCTTGATTTGCATATGGCGCACACAAGCTAGAAAGAATCTTATAGGTGTGCCTGAAAAAGAATTGTCTAGTCACACATGCTTAGTACACCTCAGCGTAGGTTTAAGGGACTTAACAGTTCCACAAGAAAAAGAAATGTTGCATGGAGTTTAACAACTCTGCACTCCATTAAGCCAAGTGGTTCCGGATTTCTTTCTTTTCTTTACCCCTTTGTTAAAGGGAAACAAAACTAAATCTTAGAAATTAAATGCTAAAATAGCTGTTAGTGCAACATTAGTGTGTTGCTTTAAAAGCAAAAAAAACCCCTGCAATGTAAACGTGGTAGTGTTTTACATTCTACAGTTTATTATCTAAACTTCAAGATGTAAGGAGTATTTATATTTTAGAAGTGTATTCAGTTACTGCTACTTATGTCTTAAAAATCATTTCCTTGAGCAAACGGATGTATAAGTTAGGAAAATTCGTATTGTTGCAGGCACATTAACTTCACTATTTTCTGACATTTGTACAGTTAAAAGCCAGAACTTAGTGCATTTGCACAGGATTTTTTTCTTGTTTTTGTTGAAAAGAAAAGTGCAAGAGTGGCCTGACACAAATGTAAAGTTCTCTATTCAGTGAACAGAAAGTTAGTAGCTAAATATAGTATGAATATGTCCTGGCCAATTCAACCATGTGTACACTCCTTGTAGAAGGTTTTGTACAGTAGCATGACTAGGGTGGGCACCAGCAGCATCTCTCAGCACTTCACACTCCAGCTGTCCTATGCTTAGCAGCGTCTCTGTCCAGTGCCTCTAGTTTTGTGGATGCCATATTCCCTAGATTCTAAATCATAAAGAAAAATTCTGTATATGTCATTGTCTAACAAGAAAGACTGGCTAAAACAAGGGTGGTAACCAACCTGCAGCATGCATGCTACAAATGGCCAGGGCAGCCTATGTCAGATCAGCAGATCAGGCAAGGGAGGAGGATCAAAGTGGTACTCAGGGAGGTCATGGGGCTTAATTTACAGCACACTGCCGAAAAGGTCGGTCCCTTGGGAGACCATATTGAAAGTCTTTTTAAAATCCAAGTGTATGACATCAGCCGTATCTCCGACATCCAAGTAGTTTGTTATTTGATCATAAAAGGAGGTTGGTCATAAGGTTGGTCAGACACAACCAGCCTGCAACGAAGGCATGTTGATTATCCTTCAGAATCATGCCTTCTGCCAGTCTCTTGCAAATGGACTTCTTGATAAATTTTCCCCAAATTTTATCCAGTATCAAGGTTAAACTGACCAGCCTATAGTTTCCCAGATCCTCTCTTCTCCCCATCCTAAAGCTTGACACCACATTGGCCCCTTCCAGTCTTCCAGAACCTTTCCCAAGCATCGTGAATCTTCAAATACCTTTGCCAATGGTCCTGGTTTTTTACCTTAAAAGTCAAAAAGTTATTACGCTACATGTTTACACAGATTTTACAAAAAATCGACTGGCATTTCATTTGCAAACAAAAATATATCTCACTGGGGGCAAGGTTGGGTGTTTCATAAGATAAAGGTTTCTCAGTTGGTTACGTGTACAAAAGATTGTATTTGATCCTAAAATTTATCAAATTTCATTCCAGGAAGTGTGAGAATCATATGTACCTATATATGTGGACAAGCATAGACATCATAACTGACTAGAGACTTTTTGTGCCTCTGCTAGAATCCTTGTGTCTGTATAATGGGAGCTTCTTATTATTGATAAGGCTATCATATATATTTAAAGAGCTAATATTAGACTTAAAATGGAAAACACATCCAAACTTAAGAGAAGCTGCTATCTTCCAGAGCACACCAGCAGCAGAAGTTCAGGAGTCTGCATATATTCTAGTCATTGCCTGCCTTGCAAGTCAGATAATCTGTCTATTGTAAGAGTAGTCCCAAATATGGATTTAATAGAATCAGGGTCAGAATAGAAACCTGCACGGCTCCCACACTAGCACATTTGGCATTGTTAAGGAAGTGCAACTGCTCAAAACTACCTTCTGAAATACAGGACAGGAAAGAATGGATCTGGTAAATAGTGTCTACCCCAACCAAGTCTGCAGGTGGGTTAAAAAGAGCATGATTGACTGTAGTAAAACTTGCTGGCAGATCTAAAAGATTTAGTTGTGCAATAACTGGTTTCTGCATTTTCATCCATGCTGTTTGAAATTATAGTACAGTATAACCTCATAAATCCCACATCCTTGGGACCTAGCACCTGCCGGAAATTTGAAAATTCTGGATTTTTGAAACAGCATCTGGCTGCTGCTCTGGGAACAGCTGCCATTTTTTCTCCCCCGCCACCCCTCCCTCCACTCCACAGCCACCTGCTGCTCTTCCCCCCGCCCCCTTTGGATGCAGAGGGGGAAGCTTGCACGCAGCGGCTGCCACCGCCATCTACCACCCTGTGCTGCTGCTCTGCGTGCGGCCACTGCTCCGGGACTGGCCACCACTACTCCCTGATGCAGTGTATTTTTAAACAGGGCCAGATTTTTGAGAAGTCCGGAATTTTGAAAACCAGATTTATGAGGTTATACTGTATTACTTTGTATTACAAAGAGCCTTTCAGAGGTTCTTAGGGTACTTAAAAAATTCAATGCTCTGGGTCATGACACATTACAATTAAAGATATAGTAATAACAGTACTTCACATAGTTTGTATCAAGTCATTTTGGAAGATGTATTTTTGATCATAGATTATATGAAAAAATAATAGTGGTTCTATTTGCAACCTTCTTCTTTTATGACCTAGGCTAAGCTTAGCCGATTATGTGAACAAGATAAAGTTGTACAAGCGCTGGAAGAGAAACTTCAGCAGCTACACAAGGAGAAAGTAGGACAATTATATTTATTACCTAATGTGGCTATTATTTTACATGCTTATTATCAGAACACTGATAACTGAAGTAAAAAGAAAATCAACTCAATGATGCAGAACATTAAAAATAATTCTTTTTATTATAATAGTACACGCTTGAGCAAGCTTTGCTATCAGCCAGTCAAGAGATAGAAATGAATGCAGATAATCCAGCCTCCATACAGAACGTTGTTTTACAGAGAGATGACTTGCAGAATGGACTGCTTAGTACATGCCGAGAAGTATCTCGAGCTACTGCAGTAAGTAATACATTTTAGCCAGTAAAGCTCAGTGACATGCTAACTGATTGCTCTTTGTGTTGATACTTTTTTAATTGGACTGTCTGCATCCTTAAATAGTTCACCATTTACCTCCAGCTTCCTGTGGGGTAGCTGGAATAGATGGTCTTTTAATACAGTTGGCAGAGGGTTGTTTCTTTCTTACTTTTTTAGAAGGGGCAAATACATAGTAGCTTTCATTTTTTGAGGTTAAGAATTGATTGCAAAGGAAACTGTAGAATGACACCGATTTTTCTCAGATACTGCATTTAATTTATATTTTTCAGTGATGATATCATATTGGTACATATTAACATAGAATAGACACAGCCAGAGAGCCTCTCCATTCACAGGCAGTTCTGTTTCTTTAAGTTAAAAGATCTGTTGGTACTACACTACTCTGTTGCTGCCTAAGTTTGCCAGCCTGATTCCTAGATCAGGGCTGTGCAACAGGCAGCCCATGAGCTGTATCTACACCTCAAGGGGTTAACTCGTGTTGTGTGGGCTCCAGGTCCAGGCATCATTCCCCGCATCATTCCTGTTGCTGCTGCCACCAGGGTCTCTGTATTTCTTCTCCCTCTTCCAGCTTTTGCTCCCAGCCCCCGCCCCTGCTGTTAATTAGGTCTTTTTTTGTTGTTGTTGCTAAAAATTGCTAAAGATTGAGCAAACCAGAGAAGGCAGTGGGGAGGCAGGGTAGAATTTGAGGGCCAGAGGTTTCTATCCATCTAGCATTTAGAGATTCACAAAAGTAAACTTATTGTTAATTTGTTAGTCTCAGGGACCCAAAAGGTAACTTCCCACGTTTTATTTTTTTATGGAAAGAATAAGGTATAGAAAATCCAAACTCCTGGTTTGAGGCATATGCATCAGCCCTTCATCCCCCCTCTTGTATGACTTTTTGTCAGGAGATGCTCAGGTGTGGACAGGTAACTTTGCTTTTCACCAGAGCAAAAAGCTGAAGATATGGGACAAAAGACATACTGAATGGCAGTAGAAAATGGAAAACTTCATTCCCTGACTTTTTGGAGTTGGCAAAATGTTCAGTTGCTTTTTGTGCAGTAGCCACAAAATACCTGGAGACCCCAAAACAAGGAACATTGATTTGTTTAATGTTTTCAGGAAGAGTCACCCAGCTTTGGTTCTTTGAATATAAAAAATACACCATTGCATTCTGTATGACAAAATGGGCAATGTTTAATGTGTTGCTGCATCTTACAATCAAAACTCTGGTCTACTTTAATTTTATGAGAGAGTATGATTAAGACAGGGTCTGAAAAACCTCTTGAGGACTGATAGGTTTCTCTGTTCCTTATCTTGTTGTCCACAGAGGACAAATCAATTTGTTTGAGCTTTATTAAGTGCCAGTTGGAAGCGAAAACCTTTTCAAACAGGAAAAAAAACATGTTTTCTAATTTATTCAGAATGAGTATTCATTATCTTCTGGACTTTGATACTGCTGGACTAGTCAAAACAGTTGTAAAGTTTTTGTTTTTGAAAGGTCTGGTTTCTTAACTTGGATGAGAACACATGTTTAGTATCTTTAATACTATTTCCCTTCTAAATTAAGGAGCTGGAAAGAGCTTGGAGAGAGTATGACAAATTAGAGTATGATGTAACAATTACAAGGAACCACATGAAGGAGCAGCTTGACCGACTGGGGGAAGTTCAGGTGAGGCTCGTCTTAATTTGAAGTGCTTTTAAATCAGTTTCATATGAAAGGCTAAAATAAACAACCTCTTTATTTCCTCTATGTGATTTTCGTTAAAGATGACTTACAAAGGGAAGGTGGGAGCTATGGGTTTATGTTCCCTTCCAACAATTCAATAGATACAAAAGATTTTGTTCTGTTTTTCTTTGGAATTCTTATATTTGCTGAGGACATCCTTAAAGAAGTCATAAGATGGGAATTTTTTTCAGGCCTTACTTGAAGTTAAATGAATCATAGAAAATTAGGGTTGGAAGAGACCTCAGGAGGTCATCTAATCCAAATCCTGCTCAAAGCTGGACCGTCCCTGACTAGATCATTCCAGCCAGGGCTTTGTCGAGCCAGGTTTTAAAAACCTCAGAGGATGGAGATTCCGC